CCAGGTTAATGCAGCGGTTACGTCAGACAGGTCAGACGTCAGACAGGCCCAGGAGTGGAAGACCACGAGTAACCACGCCCCGTGAAGATCGTTACATCCGGGTATTACACCTGAGGAACCGCACCGTAACAGCGACGTCCACGGCGGCTACAGCACTGGGACACAGGATCAGTCGACAGACCGTCTACAGGAGACTACGGCAGTATGGTATCCGGCCACGTCATCCCTACGGCGGACCGCTCCTGACGCCTCGACACCGGAACAACAGACTGATCTGGGCCAGGCGAGTTCGACGTTGGCAACGGCGGGACTGGGCACGTGTTATGTTCTCTGATGAGAGCAGATTCCTCATCTTCAGAAATGATGGACGGCAGCTTGTATACCGACGATTTGGTGAACGTTTGGCGCCTAACTGTATCCAACAGGTCCGGCCGTTTGGAGGTGGAGGGTTAATGGTTTGGGGTGGCATATGTGGTGACGTCAAAACGATGCTTGTCGTAATTCGTGGAAACCTGAATGCACAGCGTTATCTTGATGACATCCTACGGCCTGTTGTGGTGCCCTTTATTCAGCAACAGCCTCGTGGACTCCTTTTCCAACATGACAATGCAAGGCCACACACAGCAAGATTGACACAGAACTTCCTTGCCAACGCCAACGTACAGGTTTTGCCATGGCCCGCATGTTCACCGGACATGAATCCCATCATGCACTTATGGGACCACCTCGATCGGCAAATCCGACGTCGCCGTGTGCCTCCAGTCAACGTCCAGGACTTGGAACGATGTCTCCTCGAGGAATGGCAACGCATCACTCCCAACGTCATCAGACGTTTGACGTCATCAGTCCGTAGGCGTGTTCTGGCATGTATTGATGCTCACGGTGGACATACCCGCTACTGACTTGACTTTGAGACGTGTGGTGTGACATTTCCCGTTGTTTCTGTGATCAGTGCTCTAACGAAATGTTCATTTTTCGACCCCACCCATCTTTAAAGGCTTGTCATATTGGTTGTACAGATTTTATTGAAATGAAATTTTTGTACAGATGTTGTTAAAGGATTTCTCAAAAGCATAACACCAATCCTAAACTTCTGCATTGTTTAGTTTTTCTTTTATGTCGTTGCAAACAGGTGGTATCGTTTCTTTTGGACACTAGTTTATTTTATAAAATGTACACTTGGCTAATACCTCAGTCAAATACACAGTTAAGTTGAATTAAGAATACATAACAATGTCATAATACAATGCTAGCTAAAACACTATATACAACAACAATGCTTAAAATACATAGTAACCTAAGCTTCCAGATAAATAAAGTAATAATTAAATGAACTTACCCTATATGACACAGTGAAGAGAACGTGCTGAGAAATATATGCTGACTGACCAGTAGAAGTTGTGATCAGGGTATCCACATGATTGCAGAGAACATGCAAAAAGCTAGATAACAAAGGGCACCCAATCACAGGCCAAGCCTGTGACTGACCCAGTGACAATAGCCATGAAACTAAGAACGAAATGGCTGAACTACTCAAGCTACATACTACAGAGCTAGCTCACCTGTGAATTAGTAGATTTGTGCAAGTGCTGTAGTTAACACAAGTATTTAGGAAAATAAATGTTAAATATTTAGGTTAGCTTATTAATTTCATTCATGTTTGGTTACTATAATGATAATTTAAAATCTAACAATATTCTATTTACAAGCATACTCCTACATTAACACTTCTGACAACGACCTTGACACAACAATGACGTGGCTATTGACTTTGTTAGCTGGCAGTGAGCACATTTTCTCCATCTTAGTTTATTGCTGATGACCATATTTAAGTAAAATTTACAGATGTGGAAAATGCCCCCAAGTCACTCTGTAAGATTACTCTGAAATAAAATTGAACAAACACAATTGAATAACCCTGTCGTGATTTCGTCATTATAATTATGAGAAAGGAGGCATTATCCTTGTGTTGGTTTGGGACATCATGTATGTTTGTATGACCTAGTGTTGTCTGTTCATAGCATTGAAAGTACAACAGTTTACTACTAGTAGACAGGTGTGATTGTCTACTGTGACTGTATGGTGGATTAGACACGGCTCACTGCTGTATGATTACTGTTTACGCTGTTCCTTAATGATCTTGTTCAACTAATACAATCAGGAAACTGCAAAGGTATGTTTGTGAATGAATTCGTTGATAAAATTAGCACATTGATGTTTACTGATGGCATTGTGAATGCAAGTGACGCTATTGTCAAATTGCAGAAATCAGATGTAGCAAGCTTTTGTGGCAAATATGTTATGAATGTAAATTTAGATGAAACAATTATGATTGTATTTTGCAGAGGAGGACTTTTCAAACAAATTGAAAAATAGTGGTTCAAAGTTGAAATACTTTAAATTGTATCAGCATACAAGTGCTTGTGGATATTTGACACCCCAAAGTCTTCATGGGGTTTGGTTAGAAATACATTAGCACAACAACCTGAAAAGCCATGAATATTTTGCTCACATTTATATATAATGCAAACATATCTTTAAGAGTTGTGTTTATTGTTGACAGAATGATTGTGCCAGTCATTGGTTATGGACCAGGTATGTGGGGTTATTCACAAGTTCAGACAGTTTAAAGTGTACACATGAGAACATTGTCTGTTAACACAAGTACAAAAAAGCGGTTGTTTTAGTACAAGGATGTTTGTGGATTATGCACACAAAGTAAGCATATTTGTGTAGAAATGTTTATAGATTGTGGATCAATATTTAGCGACAAACATGTAACCATACTTTGGGCTGAATTCTGAATACAAACTTGAACTTGAAAGTACAATTGGAATGTGTGAGAAATGTTCAAATATAACAACTTTATTGTGTTTTAAAAATTGAAATGATGAATATATATGTACATAACACTGTACCCATGATATTACATAATGAAAAAATACCATTGAATGTCTCGCATTTGTTTGTTGGTCTGTGCTTAGGATCTCTCTCTCTTACCACTTTAACAATGAATGCAATAGTACAGCACCATCACACGGTTGTCAGACGGACATTCAGTCATGTAATTTCATTGCAAAGGAGCTCCACCACATTCCCAAGGTCAGTGTTCGAAATAGACATCGGTCCGTATACCCATAGATGACAGATTTGTTCAAAGATGTTTTACAAGCTGATAATTTCCTTGATAAATGTATCACCATCTATTACCACAGAGTCTCTGGGAACTCGGTGTGATAGCAGTAATAGCTTCTGGATGACTGGTTGTATTTTGTAATTTTATATTGCAAGAGTATATCTCACTGCTTCAGCTAACATGTTTGGGCCTACAGTTTTTCAATTAGGCCTACAGCTAAGAATAGAAGTAAGTACTTTACACATGGTGTCAATCAGGGATATACCTACCGGTACTTATTTCTATCATTCTCATCACCAGATTTCAATAGTTGAAAAGAACAAACTTTTATTCCTTAACTGTGAAAAGTCACTGATTTAAAATAATTTTTGAAAAGCGAGGCAAAAGTAAGTTTGATAAGACTCTTAGTACTTTTTAGAAACACAGTCTTCACATGGACGTATACTAGCCACATAAAGAAACTGTGCACGGAGAAAATATAGATGTAAGGGCACACCGTCCATATATGAAATATAGGTTTGAACACAGCAATTATTGGAGACATTCAAACGCTCATGCACGTGCCATGCGATATGACGTCATTGATGGGGGCCTATGGACGTGCAATGTGTTACTGCACGTGCAACCTGTGCAGCTGTACACAGCATGTGCAACTCAAAATGCGCTGTCACTTTGGAAAGCATGATCTGTGGTCATTCAAAAATTCAAAACTTCTCAGGCGCAGACACAAGCATATCACAAGCAAATCATGCCAAGATTGACAGCTGCACAGCGTCATGAAGCCATTGGAATGATCCGAGCGGGAATGAGGCAACAACAGGTGGCAACACATTTCCAATGCCATCGTAACACGATATCGGCATTGGTGAGGCGTTATCAGAACACAAATGACGTTGCCGACCACCCACGTTCAGGACGTCCCCGAGTAACGACGCCAAGACAGGACAGATGGATTCGAGTGACACATCACTGACACAGGTTCCAAACGGCAGTAACGACGTCCCAGACAATTCCTGGACTGCGCCGTATGCATCCCAACACTGTCAGGAATCGTTTACGTCAGTACGGGACTCGACCACGACGCCCTGCCATACGTCCCATCCTGACACACCGTCATCGAGTCAACCGTCTAAGATGGTGTCGAAATCATGTTCGTCAACCTCGAATATGGTGGAGAAATGTTGTCTTTACAGATAAATCGAGGTTCAACATTTCCCACAGTGACGCGCGCCAACGTGTCTACCGGCGTTTGGGAGAACGTTATGCACGCAACTGTATTGTGGAGAGGAATCGTTTTGGAGGTGGCTCTGTGATGATTTGGGGTGGGATAACAGCACGGCACCGAACCCCTTTGGTGGTTGTTCAGGGCAATCTCACCGGTGTTGGCTACAGAGATCAGATTCTGAGGCCTGTGGTCATTCCTTTCCTGCAACGTCATGGCCCGGGATTGACATTTCAACAGGACAACGCTCGTCCTCACACGGCTAGGATCGCAATGGATTCCCTTCGACATAACAATGTCATGTTACTGCCATGGCCAGCATTTTCTCCAGATCTCTCCCCAATAGAGCATGTGTGGGATGAAATGGAGCGCCGTCTGCGTCGTCTTCCACATCCTCCAGATAAAGTCCGTGACTTGGCACAGGATTTGAGGAGGATATGGCAGGCCATTCCCCTGGCCTTCCATGCCCATTTGGTGGACTCCATGCGTCGTCGATGCACTGCTGTGATTCACGCACAGGGTGGTCATACCCGTTATTGACTTTGTGACTTTGTCATTTGACCCCCTACTCCATTTTGATCTTCTGACGTCATCGTAGCAGTTGTTGTTCAGGTCCCGTTGACATTTTCTTATGGTCCGATCATTCAGCTGCTACAGCGTCTGCATCATTTTGTTCTTGCTGTGTTGTATTTCAATCCAGAATATATTTTCTCCGTGCACAGTTTCTTTATGTGGCTAGTATATTAATCCACAAAAGGATATCTGTTCGTGAATCTTAACAAATGCAGTGAGTAGCAATGTAAGGCTTGAGGAAAGACTCAAAGAACAATGAGAGTCTGGGAATCAAACTTCCTGTACAATATTCCTCATCGAGTGATATTTTCTGAACAAAGAAGTCTTTGAACGTACAAACAGCAAAAAAGCAGTATTTTCGCTTTGATAGATACATCTGACCCTGCACCTGAAAGTAGTAATTACTGTTTTCTTTCAGTTGCATGAGGCCATTTCTCTTACAAAGATAAAGAAAGAGTTTCCCAGGAGCAATGACCTCATTTCTAGCACTGTAAGGACATTTAACCTCAACAATGGTGTTAGAATCAATGACACCGTCTGGGGTTGCTGCAAGGAAAGGGAGGTCAGAGTCAACAAACATTCCACAACTGTGAACATGAACATTACAGGCTATCTCAAGTTTGGCAATAGCTTTGGGTTCCTGCTGTAACCCATGCCTCATAGAGTTACAAACAAGTTTTCTTCCAGAGACAATTTGTTCACATAATTTAGTTCTGTTTCTCCTTGTAGTGCATTTGCAAATTGTCCAAAACTGAGATGCTGTCAACCTCCATCTCCTCTCTTCATGCCACAAGCTACACTTGGCCTGCTTTCTTGTCTTTGACTCTAAGTCTGCAGCCTGGTCATCTGTAATCTGTCAAAGATAGACAGAATAATTTTTTTTATATCACACAAAAACTTATCAATAAAATTCTTGAAACTCCTTTACAAATCAGAACAAAACAATTCAATCAGATAACATAGCTAAAACAGTTTAACCATATCGTATCTAGCTCCAAGGGACCAGAAAAAATCCATTTGCATGTGATTCAACCTAACCATCAACTACTACACTGCAACGTCTGAAGATATTGTGTCTTCTTCAGTAAAAAATGAACTAACCATGTAATGAATAATAGCAGGCATTTTGTTTTAGAAAAAAAGTGAATTATTTATTTGAATGCAATAAGCAGTAGCTATTGAAAGCCGAAAATATAATAACTTAATTTAGTGATTTGTGAGAATGCATAGATCTCAGGATTGAAGATTTCTTCATTACGGAAAACATGAGTGTAAAATACCTTCAAGGCTCTCACCACCCAGTATTCTGTGAAGGGCTTGTCCAAATAGTCATGATCTCTTACTGCAGATGACAGACTGGCTCTTTCAAACAAGTATCTGATCGTGATATCCTTAGACGCTGAAGAGCAGTAGTTGATGGTGATGTTTCGCACGTGGTCCCTGTAAGATGCACTATTTCTGTATTTTGCTGGTCTTGGGTCATCAAACATGGTTGGTCGCTTCGCCCCACACTTGAATGAGTCTGCTTTCTTCGGTGAATCTATTAAAGAGGAAAAAAAAAAAGGAATAAGATTTTGGCTGAAAATATATTACTGATACTGGGATACTTCAGTATATAATATTTGAATGTAGAAACAGCCAATAAGCAGTATTTTCTCTTTGATAGATACAGGAAGTGAAATTGTCATAATTTCAGACAATTCATAATTTGGGGTATACGCCAAACCTATTACGGGGGAAACAATTGAAAGGGTGATCACACACTGCAGAAATAGCTTGTGAGGCTTTTAGGTAGTTATGTCTAAGCTATACGATCAATGCCTACTGAATACATTAGCAGAAAGATCAGTTTCATATGTCATGGAATAATTAATCACTCTGTATATTTAATTCTAATAAATATGAAAATATAACCAAGGGGTACTTAATTTATTTTAATGTGTGCAGCTGAACTGAATATCTATTTTTTCAAACGAATAAAAACTTTCTCTTTTTAAGAAAACAATTGACACAAAAAAACTTGATAATTAATTCATTCTAACATGCTGTATAAGCACTTTGAATACCAATATATTTACTACACAGTAAACATGGTAAAGTACCTGAATATTCCTTTTGTGGCCTGTGGAATGTCTGCAGTCTGTCTGTGCAGGATCGCCTCACAGCAATCACACCTGTAGACTTGAACTGAGACAACATGAGGAGGACGGAAGCGAGGTGTTTGCAGGTTCCATGGGGGCCTTTACCAGCTGGGCACTCACAGTGTGTGTTCACCACTTCACCACATTCTGCTATTATGATGCGAAGACTGTAAGATACCTAAGTCAAGGAAATCAAAACTTGTAATGCAGAGTTATCTAAGTATCATCATGATAACATATAATGTATTATTCCTGCAAGTGACCACCTCTTTATGTTTGGTATAACTGACACATTATTTACACAAAGGTGAGATATTTCTTATTACAGACCTAAATGTACAATCATGAATGGCAAAACTGTGAATGATTACTCACTAATTTAAAATCATTAATCACTGACGATTCAATGTGTGGTTGAGAATGGAACTTATGACCAATCTGTTTCTAAGGTAACAAACCTTTTTCTTCATAGCAGCACTGACTAGACCACTGAAGTAGGCATGGTGATCAATGACAACACTGCAAGCCAGGACATGATTGGATTTCAAAAGTTGATGTCCCTTCTCAATAGCCTTCAAATCTCCAGTCTGAAAGCAAATAATTTCATTTTGCTAATTTCAGTATCTCATTTATTGAAAAGATATCTCATGTATGTTTCACAGGATATGTATTATCAAACACAACTGTTAATGTTAGTGTTACTATTGGTAATAATTTCAATAAATTTGAGTAACGCATAGAAATATATTGCACACTTACCTCTTCATTATCTACAGCTAACCGGTACCTAAAATATGCCTCGACATCCGAAGAGGCCATGGGCGGTAACCTGTCTTTGTGTAGTGGCATCAGTTGCTTGAAACCTGTGACTGGCCATGATTCAAATCGGATAGGCTTAGGTAACTTAATGTCATCTTCTGAGTGGCAGAAGTTATTATTTCTGTCATAGGACTCCAATCTGAAACAAATTTTACAATACACCTGTATATATTTGGAAAAAAAAAAAAAATTGAAAATACTTTAAATTCAGTCGGGGTGGGGTGGGGGAAACCTATGAAGCTGACCTATGTATTGGATTACTATTAATAAAAATATTTTATGCAACCAGACCCTTGGAACAGAGAAGTCATGCAAGAAGGTATTTCTATTTTCAAAGTACTGCAATTATATCTTAGATTTAGAATGAAAATGTCACAGGTCATGTCAAACCCCAGAAATAAGAACATTAGACAATACCCAAAATAACTTGAATGAGGGTTATATTGCCAGGACTGTAGATTGTAAAAAAACCTTTACCCAGTCTCATATGGTACTTATGATACCTTAGCTGTGCTAGGAAATCCTAACTAAAGCTTTCTTCTCATTTCTTTCACTCGAGATATTAATTAAAATATCAAAAGGTTAATATATACGGTACTATTTATTTTGATATATTTTAGTCTGATGCATTGAGTCAATGCATACACCACTGGCTTCGCCAGAGACCATATGCCGGTATATGGTCTCTGCTTTTGCATACATGTAGTCATTATAGCCCCAGTTCATGCTCTGTAGACGACTGACATAGCATGATGGGTAAAAGATATTTACGCATGCTTTATTTACGATTTCACCAACATGCACAGGTTTTCATTCAATAAAATGAAATTTGCACACCCCTGACGTTTTGTTTATCGATAACAACAATTTTCATTCAGTTCGGATTTCCCGCGGTATTCTCGAGTCGTAGTGGAACAAAACAAAGACTGTTTGAAGATTCAAAGCAAACTGACACAGAATTGGCAAGTCTCTTGTACAATTACATACCTTTCAATCAAATCGATCTTCTTCCCGCGTGTAGTTGCTCCACGGCATCGCAACTCTGTCTTCAGCTTCTCAACTGTCAAACCGGAACACTTCACACCTGGCGGATTAGTGTACCGGTGTTTGCCATAAGCAATGGACAATGAGCAAACGGGAGGCCGAGGGTTATTAGCACTGATAGGTGAAAGTATGTAAATAGCAGTGGGCAAATGGAAGCCAGCTAGATAATTAGCACCGACAAAGATCAAAGCAATAAGTCATCAGCGCCAATCATCTGTTGGCTTCCCTAGTTAGTTTCCACCTTTTGTTATCTTATTGATGTTGTTGTCCTTGGATGTACATATATATGCTCCCTGCCTCATGGCATTCATTGCTAACATTGACAACTCAACCAACCCCGCCCAAAAAGCAAATAATCTCGCCAACCACTTTTCGGCCGTTAGCAGTAACACCAACTTCAGTCAAAAATTCCAAGATAAACTTAAAACAGAAAACAAACCCACAAAAGAACCAAACAATAACAATCTAGAAATAAATCAACCCTACACAATGGAGGAGCTCCTCTACATAATCCAAAACAGGAAAAAGGGCACAGCCCAAGGATTAGACCTAACTTCTTACCAAATAATTAAAAAACTCCCCCTAAAACTACTCCAGGCACTACTCAAACTATACAATCCCATCTACCTAAACGGACAGGTTCCTACTCCCTGGAAACAGGCCCTAGTCATACCAATCCCTAAACCTAATAAACCAGCTAATCAAGCTAACTCATATCGACCAATATCCCTAACTTCAAACTTATGTAAAGTAATGGAATCAATGGCTAAAAATAGATTCCAACATTACTTAACCCAAAATAACATCATAAACCCAGATCAAAGCGGTTTCACTCCTGGCCGCTCAACCCTAGATAACCTCGCCCGACTAGAACAAGATATTAAGACAGGACAACTAAATAAACAATATACCACAGGCATCTTCTTAGACTTTTCTAAAGCTTTCGACATGGTATGGCACGATGGGCTAATACAAAAACTTTAAAAAATAGGACTCAAAGGTAAGATAATAAACTACATCCAGGACTTCCTAAACAATCGTAAAATAACCGTGGGTATAGACCAAACTCTATCGGACCAATGTCCCCTAGAAAATGGCACTCCACAGGGCAGTATCCTCAGCCCTACCCTCTTCAATATAATGATAAACGATCTATTCGAGGGCCTATCCCCTAAAGTAAACACATCAAAATTCGCGGATGATGGAGCCATCTGGATCCGCACTAAAAGCATGAAAATGGTCCAAAATTTACTCCAAAAATCTCTTAATAAAATACAACAATGGGCTGACAAATGGGGCTTCTCCCTTAACTCAGAAAAAACAACAGGAATAGTATTCAAACATAAAAACATGAAACCCGCCTCCCCAATCCTCCAGCTAAACAATCAAACAATCAAATTTCAAAAACAAACCAAATTCTTAGGACTTATTTTCGATGAACATCTCACCTGAGATGCTCACATCCAAAACCTAACCACTAAATGCAGTAAAGACCTAAACACCCTAAGATGCCTAACTGGCTCTAACTGGGGAGCCTCCAAAGATACCCTCCTCTCTCTCTACATATCACTAATTAGATCAAAACTAGACTACGGCTGCGCCATATACAACACCCTAAACAACTCTCTATCTAAAAAACTTGACTCAATAAAATATCAGGCTCTCAAACTAATTACACGCACCCAACATGGCACCTCCTACACCTCACTTCAGGCCTTAACAAGAGAAATGCCACTAAGTCTACGCAGGGAACAGCTAAGCTTAAATTTCTGGGCCGCGTCCCAATCAAACCCTCTCATCCAAAACTTAATAAACCAAAACATCAGCCCCAAAAACCAAGCTCTAGCTCGTAAACACCCCTTACTTACCCCAATATCCCAAAGAATAACAAACTACCTAAATGAACACCAAATTAAAAATCTTAAACAAAACTGCAAACAATCAAATAACTTCTCCCCTAAACTTAAAATACCCAAAATAGACACAACACTAGCTAGCCAAATAAATAAACAAACCGACCCAAACATAGCTAAAACTACCACACTAGCATACATACACGAAAATTGGCCAAATTGGTGTCACATTTACACGGACGGATCCTCAGATCCAACCTACAAACACACAGGTTTCGGAGTCCATACCACACAACCAACTAAAACCACACAATCCTTCCGACTCCCAAACAACCAATCAATATTCACGGCAGAACTAATGGGCATGGCCTCAGCCCTCCATAATCAAGAATCCAAAAACCACCAAAAAAATCCTAATACTTACCGACTCCCTTAGTGGACTGCAAGCCCTCCAAAACAAAAATACCAAAAACCGACCTAAAGTAATAAATCAAATACTTAAAAGCTCCAACGACCTAACTGAGGTAGGCAAACAAATAACCTTCTTGTGGATACCCGCCCACGTAGGAATATACGGTAATGAAAACGCCGATAAAGCAGCAAAACTATCCCTCAAAATCCCAGAAATAAGCTTAAACTTACCCATCTCAAAATCAGAAATTAAAAGTGTAAACAAGCAAAAAATCACAAAAAAATGGCATAACCTATATCTAAATTCAAATAGCCAAATCAAAAAAGTGCTCAGCAAACCACTAACCAAACCAAAAATCCTCCATCCATCAAAACAAATCGACAGAGTAATCACTAAACTCCAAACAGGACACACCAACCTAAATAACCACCTAAAAAACACCAAAAAAAACACTACAGGTAACTGCCCACACTGCAAACAACCAGAAACCCCAGAACACGCACTCATCCACTGCACACACTACCTAACACATCGAACCGCATTACAAACCACCTTCAATCTAAACAAGGCTCTCACTCTAGAAGCAATACTAAACCAACAAAATAAACTAGAAAACTTCAAGGCCTTAGGCGTATTCTTAATAAAAACGGAACTAATAAAACGCATCTAAAAACACAATAACCTACCAAATCAAAATCACATAAACAAACAAACATCCACCATACCCAGCTCCCTTAGTTCTCCTCCCCAACCCCATCGGCATCTATTCCAAATCTCAAAATTCCCAAATTCTATATAAGCAACCCCTAAACCCCCCTCTTGGGTTGCACAGACCACTTTCGCCCCTTTCGGAAACACATTAAATGGCCTGGCCGGGGCCGTGTGCGAAATACGCATCAGTCGGAAAGCGCACGTTAAATCTCCAAACTAGGTAAGTAAGGCATTCATTCAGAATTTCAGATTCTCTCAAACCACTCGCGCTCAATCGCTCCCGACATTGGATACTCCATAGATCGTGTTCCCATTTTACATCGAGATCAGCAACAAACAGGACAAGAATCAGCATTGCTTAAAGAATCCTCCTCCCCTCGGACCCATCGCTGGAACCAGGCGGCCTCAGCTGAAATCAACCTGAAGCAGGCCGACCTCTCGAACTTCAAACATGGCGGCAAACCGGATCCATCACTCGATCGGCAGAAAAAACCGAAATGACCGCCCGCTGTCCACATCCCAAGCATCAATATCAACTTCACCCCTAGACAAACAGAAAGACCAACGTCCCTCAAGAAGAGACTGTAAGCCACTATCATCTACCTTCACCACTTCTCCTTCCCCTTCACTCACTTCAACCCCCGCTAAAATCTCCACTAGTTCCCAGTACCCTCCAATTGATCTAAGTAATCCCACTAACTCCATCCCTTCCACTTTGGAAAATCACCTCCAACTTCGCCCAGCATCATAATGGCTACTCTCCGCAGCTCCCAGTCTAATCTACAAAATAACTTAGCCACAGCCACTGGGGGAAAACGCCCTGTACAATCCCCCGAAGTTCTTGAAACGCAATCGAAGATACACAACCTAACTCAAACAACAATCAACATCTAATACTTCTAGCATTCAATACAGGTCCCTTCCCCCTCACTTCACTATACACCAGAAACAGATTTGGGCTTATACTAAAGCAAGCCCATCTAAAATTAAAATTTATAAACAGCTGCGACAGAGCCTTCAAAATAAACTTACAATATGACCTCAAGCTTACGCAATTGAATCAAATAAACTCCAAACCCAGCCTCAAATAACTAATCTACTAAGGATCACCAGAAAAAACCTACAAGGTCCCCCAAACAGACACCTCCACTATCATCCTGACTTTCAAAGGAACCAAACTTCCTGACAATAACTTTTGGATCAATCTATTGCAAAGTGCACAAAACGAGAAAAAAACCCAGTCCAATATACCATCTGCCACCTTTTTGGACACACACAATCAAATTGTAAAAAATTGTATGCATCCTCACATGACGACGACGATCATCCAACTACAAAACATCCAACTCAATCTTATAGAATTCATCACTGCTCTAACCCTCTCTCCTAACAACACAATCGTAACAATTCACCAAAATCTTCTCCAAACCTCACTATACACTCTCCCGCTTGTGCAATTTAAACACAATGTCAAACCAATCAAACTATGATGGGACACCACAAACACGCAAATACACATACTATTGAAGCAGTCTGTTTTAACGGACCGTTTATGCCTAGAATTGTTGCGGGGAATTAACTCCGGGATCTCCACGCCTTCAAAAACAGACAGAGAGGTTCTCAGTCGAAATGCAGGAATGTTTATTATATATGATCTCAGGGGCAACAAACTTACATTCAACAGCATCTTAGTATTCAATTTCATAGTTAATAGTTAAGACATCATAATGAGCATATAACTAGTAAAGCATTAAGATATTGAAATCAATAGTTAAGAAATAATAATGAGTTACATAAGAGTGGACTCATTAAGACACCATGTTATAAGCGCCATGGTCACTTACACCATTGTGCTCAGTGAATGTCAATCATATTCATAACTTACATCATTCATAAATTCAGTTAAAATATGGACATAAATGATGATCTTACATTACTATAGGTAGTAGTAGTATAGGTAATGGTGATTCTGCCGCAACCCCACTGTAGCCAGATTTATATACCTATACTGCTACTACAGAGGGGATCTTTTATGTCAAAACGATGATGCGATTCAATGATCGTCATGATTCGTATTAAAGAAACATCAATATTAATTAATAATGGATAAAATTAACTATAGCCCACGAGGATATTGGAAAGGTATAGAGCAATAAAAAAATATGCCACCTTGGCTCAGGTATCTAAAGATGTGGCCAAGGATTGGTTAAAGAAACAAGCGATGTGGCAAATATACTTACCAGCACCGCGTTATATACCGAGGAAGA